ATTATTATTATTATCATTATTATTATTATTTTAATCCAAGCGTGCGTCATTTTCAAGAGGAACTGAAACAAAGACTTTTAATTCACTGATTTGGGGAGATATCTAAAAAAAAAAAAGGTGTAATATATAAATTCGTTGACGTAATCATTTTGAAGTTAACAAGGTGTTTGGTCTTACCCTCACTGTTCACCGGAAACGGTGATTCAATAAACAAATTAGATAAATGAATACAAGAGTGTATGTATGTAAATTAAATACATCAGGTGGTAAGACACGTGGAAGGTTTTTTTAATTTTTGATCCGGTGACGACTTCAGTTACTTCGTCTACCGAGCTAAATTAATTTTTTTTGTAATTTTAGGCCAATTGATAGTGATGAAAGCCATATTAGTGAAGGATGGAAAACCTGTGTTGGGTTTGACAAAAATGCCTTAGATGATGGAGCAGAAAAAATATCAGTTTAATGATAGTAAGGCATACATCTTTTAATGGTAAAATGTGATGTAATAATACATTGCATTTTTCTCTTCATAAATAGTTTTCGAGATTTGAACAGTTTTTTAAGGTTGAGAGAGTGGATGTCGAAATTTTTTTTTTTTAAATCCCATTTATTTCTGTAATGGCTATACAATAATATATCAAAGGAGTATTTTCCTGGGCCTCAATTGTTGGGGGATTGGGGGGGGGGTAGCAGTGTTGGTATCGAGCAATGAAAACCTCACACACAGACACACACACACACACACACACACACACACACACACACACTAAAACACACATACACACTCACACACACACACACACACAAACACTCACAAGTCTTTGGACACACATCGCTCCTAGCCTCCCCACCTCCTTCATCTCCCAGTTGACAGCAACACCCTCCCTTGAGTCCCACTCCTGTTTATTTTATTCATCGTAAGCGACAAGAGTGAGTCGACTTGATCCTTCGGGGATTTCAGCGGAAGCGGAAATGACGTCGCTCGGAAACGCGTCGACAAAATATAATTTCCGCGTGTGTTCGGAAGAACTATTGGTCATAATAGTTACATGAACTAGTAAATACGTAGGACGGGGGAGTTTGGTTCACCAATAATGACATAATGCAATGAACGGTTGGATTGTGCTATTTGCTTTCCTACTCAATTTCATAGATTGTGCGGTTCGTCTTGAGTTATTTGATTTCTGTCGATAGTGTACGAGAGACTATGAACACCTCACCTTCTGGAGAACGAATATAATATGGAAATTGTTGGGTGTAGAGAGATTGTGCTCGTGCGAAGAACTGGGTATAAGAGGTGCAACTAGCATAACGAATGAATATGACAATTGTGTTGTAAATACTCAAAACATCTGTAAAAGTACCGATGACTTACTATGTTCCCAGTTATAAAAAGTAAGGCCCCAACACAACGGTATGTCGATGGTTCGTAGGCGGAGAGTGCTCAAGGTAATTATCTTCCATATATTTGCCATTTCCGTCTGAGGCAAATAGGTTATTGCCTCTTTAGTCTGTTGCCATCTCTCTCTCTCTTTCTCTCTCTCTCTCTCTCTCTCTCTCTCTCTCTCTCTCTCTCTCTCTCTCTCTCTTTCTCTTTTCTCTTTCTTATTCTTTCGCTCTCTCTCTCGCTCTCTCTCTCTATTGTTGTCTCCCTCCACCTTTCCCTTATCACTAACTATTCGTATCTACTTTGCAACACAACTGCTTTTTCGGCGCAGTTCCTGTTGTATGTTCCGGTGGCGATATGGATGGACACGCCTCTCCTCACAGGATTAAGAAGACTTTTGAAAGACCAAGTCCATAATGGCGTCCGCCCGTGGTGCGAGTAACACCTTTTTAAACCATACTATCTCCTTACTTTGTTGTGGTCCTCTGTAGATAGATCAGCTGGAAACTGTAGGGGCATGAATTTGATTGGAGCGGAAGTTCTTTTTCTTCCTTTAGAAAAGAGAAATATAGAGATGTCCGTTTACGTATTTGTTCTCACTTAGGGCTTACTCGAAGACTGAAAATCGGATATTGCAATTCTATTTATCGTTAAATACAATTCCGGATACTTTAATATAAGGTTCGGGCGTTCTGGCCTTAGCCTGACCTGACCTGACCTTTTGTTCTTTGGAGAGGTACTTTGCATGAATTTCCCATTTGGCTCGGTCTTTTCGGGTATGGGCGTTAAACTTGGAGGTCCCCCACTTAAAT